GAGTTATTTGTTTAAGAGTTGGTAACTTGTACTTAGGTTAGATAGTGGAAACATTCATTTTATGCTCTTTATTTGATTTAATTTCTTTAATTAATTAAATGAATTTTTAATAAAAGTTAAATTATAATTTTATATTAATTGTTCAGCTCGCTAACTTGAATTTTAATGTATTTTAAAAATATTTAGTTATTAATTAAATTGTTTGCTCAATTAATTAATTAACATAAATATTTAAAAGATTTAAAATTGACTAATTAAAGAAGCATTCCTCCACTTCAACCATCCCACTTAAATTCTACTAATAATATTTTCATCTATTTCACCATCTCTCTGGACAATAGACCCAAGATGTCTAAAAGGAATACTCAAATTAATGACTTGATAGCCCAAAGTCACAATCCCCCACTAGATCTATTATTACTAAAGTTATACTCAATATATTTCGTTTTATATCTACTCAAACAAAAGCCTTTAGACTCTAAGGCTGACCTCCATAATTCAAGTTTACCTTCAACTCCCTCTCTAGTCATATCAACAAGAAGAATATCATCAGCAAAAAAAATACAGCAGGGTACAACCTCTTGCAATTGTCTACTGAGAACATCCATGACTAAAGCAAAAAGATATGAGCTTAATGTTGATCCTTGATGTAACCCTATTTCACTGAAATAGGAAAATTTTGTTCAAACCCAAATCCAAAATTTCTCTTCCATTTTGCAAACATTTGGGTTAACATGTCTTACTTTTTAATAAATTTTGTTGAGGATTTTAATGCGTCTTAAAAAATCCTTCTAATCAATTATTATATAAAATTCTAAATTGTAAGAAATCCACGATAGAGAATCACTAAAATGACACAAAACTAAACACAAACTGTGTACGCCCAAACATAGCATTTATGCATCAAAAGCTTTGGAACAGCCTCTCAACAATTGAGCATAGCCTTTAGGCCTCAAAATATCTTATAAAAAAAAGTCTTTTGGGCCACCTTAATGCAACTAAAGCATAATTCCAATCCTGCCTTAAAGCTCAATGCAACCTCTTAAAGATTGAGCACAGCTTTCAATCCTAAAGAACTCTAATCGGAATAAAGCTTTTAAGCCACCTTTACAGGGTTGAGCATAACTTCAGAGCCTTAGAAGCTCAATGCAGCCACATAATGACTAGACATAGCCCCCAAGCCTTAAAAACATCATTCCAAATAAAGTCTTTATGCAACCCTCAAATAGTTAAGCATAATTTCTAGGCCCCAAAAGCTTAACAACCCCCTAATGACCAAGCAAATCCTTTACGCCTTAGAAGTCTAGTTGAAACAAAGCCTTTTAATCACCTTGAGAAGGCTAAGCATAGCCTTTGAGCCTCAAAAATTAGTGCAGTCTCCTAATGATCTAGCATAGCCCTCGAGACATAAACGCTTCTATAAGAATAATGCCTTCAAACCACCTTCAGGTGACCAAGCATAGCCTCCAAGCCTCAAAAGCTCATCACAATCTCTCAAAAACTTCACAAAGCTTCCAAAACTTAGAAGTTCTAATGAAAACAAATATTTTGAGACACCATAAGGCGACCAAGCATAATCTTTCATACATAAGAATAGGCGCAACTTCCAAACAATTATGCATAGCCTTTGAGCCTCAAAAACTTAATGTCAATCCTAAAGACCGGGAATAGCCTTTAAGCATCAAAAGAGCTTCCATGCCTCAAAATTTAGCGCATCCAACAAAACATATCCCTTAGGTTTCAAAAACTTTTATCAAGTCCAAGTCTCTAGGCCATAAAAATTCAAACTTATAAAAAAGTTGGGTTCATTGAAGCAATAACTAGAAAAGACACATTGCATAAGAAACTTTTTTTTTAATAATCAAAGAATTTTTTATCACATAGTGCCTCTTCTGATTTTGAAAGATATTACAAAATCTAAAAAGAGTACAAAGGAGTTAGAAGGACACTTCAACCAGCTTAAATCTGAAATTGATTCCAAACTAAAAAGGATAAGAGCTTCCAGGATCTCTCTGACCAATACCATAAAAACTTTGCCAAGCAAGGAGCCCCAACTTGAAAGTCCTATTCAAAAGTCTTCCCGGACCTGAACCGACCTCAACCTATATACTAACAAGAGAGAATTCCACATGAGATACAACTCTGCACACCGACCAAGTTCTGATCTCAACAAAAAAGGAAAGAGATGGGAAAGCATGAGACCAAGAAAAAAATAGAAAGCAAACAAAGGAAAAGAATGGTGCATGAGATAGAGAAAAAAGAGATGCGTCAAACTCAAGAAATTATGACTTTCATAAACAAAGCCTCTAGCTACTTCCTAATTAAACAAAACTAGGAATGATAAAGCTAGACGAGGATGACTTGAATAAAAGAGGCTAGGAAAGGGTAAGAGAGAGCATGACCAGAGGAAAGAGCCGAAAGGGTGAACTTCAACAAAACTAAGACAAAGTATTATGGACAAGACAACAAAAATAGATGAAACATCGACCTACCTCCAACCAATCATGAAATTGAGATGGATCAAAAAAAGAAAAAGACTATAATGTCCTTCATTAATGCACAAGCAATTGAACAGCTCCTGGGCCAACCATAATGCAAGCAAAAGAGGCATTTCTCCCTCACCCACAAATGCGCCCCATCATACCACCAATCCCTCTCTTCCCGTGGTGTGAAGAAGCACCACCTCCGCAAGTAATATAAAAACTAACATGGACAATCCTACCAAATCAAACATTGGAACACCCGCATTGGAATTACAAAGAAGTTCACGAAACTAAAAAAGAAAAAAAAAATTGCTTAACACAAAGCTATAAAACAAAATCATTGTCCTAAACCATCACATATGTTGAAAGATTGATACAGACAAAACTATATATAGTTGTTGTGATAACAACACTTAATGAAACTGTAGCCCTTCACGGGAAGAAGAGTCCATTTGTGGTAGAAAAGATGGTCAGTTTGGACTCTCTCATCTAGGAGAGAATAGAACAAACCATTTTTTCAAATGAAACAAGAAAAATAAGCATGAAGAATGAAAGGAGCTAGTTGTAAAGACTAGCGATCATAACCCTATTGCTTATTTTTCATATTACCTCCTATATACATTTGATTATAAACTAGCACTACCTCCAACTCAAAAAGACAATGCAGAATAAAATATCACTTGACGGACAAACATGAATATTCTATGTGGCCACAAGCATCATAGCATTGGATGATTATAGCATTAAAATGTTGTGTCATACAACAATATCAATAAGCCCAAACATGCTTTGCAAAACATATTCTATATTGAGATTTTGAAAGGTCATCATTCATTTAGATCACTTTGCTCCATTTCACACAGCTAATTCCTCAAAGAAACATGTATAAAATGAAAGGGAATTATGTGTATGATAAACTGTGCTCCCATCTTGAGGAATGAATAGAGTCGAACACCTAGGGAACCCATTCTCTAAGAGGTTATCTCAAATGATTAAATCAACTAATTATCATCACATGAGACATAGGAATAGTATAATAAGACAGAAGATCAATCATGTAAGATAGACCAAAAGATTCTACTTGTTCAGAATACCCAAATAGCTCGACCACTCCATCACTCAGCATGGCACAATTTGAGAGGACACTTGTGGAATACTTTCAGATAGATATCAAGGAACACAACCAAACGAACTCTCGACAAACTACTTACGAGCAAAATTCAAGAGACTTTCTGACTAGAATGCTCCCAATCAAACATTCATGGAATGGCTTAAAGAAGTCAGTTGGCCCCACAACCTGGCCAACCTCCTTACACAGCTTGGAACACTGAAATTGATTCAATGCAAATCAGGAGTTAAAACATTAAAAGCTAGACAAGATAGAAACTGGTAAGGCGCATAGAATGTTGTATGGATGGACAATGACTTCTTCAACATTTATAAAGACGTGCCATACATGAATAGACAGGTATCACCAATAACGACAGGAATATTCTTAACATAAGCCGCACAAGTCTTGTAAGTGACCATTGAAGCAATAACACATCCAAAGATCCAGATTTGACAGCAATATTTGAGCTAGCAAAAAGAGTCACCATTCGTGTGAGCACTCATTTATAATTCAGACTTGAAAACAACTCTGAAAAAGTTGAAAGAGAGTGTCTTCTTAGTGAAGAATGTATTCTACAAAAATATACATATTATATAATGGAACCATAGACCTCGGGGATCCCTAAATTGAAGATGACTAAGAAAAGTCAAACACCTATTTTATTTATTGACATTACCTCCTTTCAACACTTATTTTCATCTCATCTTATCTAGAATTAGCCAAATCCACTAACCTCCTAGCCTCACTATCTCTTACTCTAATCATATAAAATTTGATCTCTAACAAGGGGGTTAAAAGATAAGGAATGTAAGGGTGGGAGGGGTAATCCAAGATAGGTAAGCAATTCTCATGTCATTCATTAGCTCTCATGCACGCATTAAGTGTTATTATATATAGGTTAAGCAAAGAATTTTTCTCAAATGACTAAAAAGTTCAAAAACATGAAATGTAAATGCAGTAAGTCATTCAATCATGATCGGAGTCGCTTGTACATCAATGTTTCCAAATCAAATCAACATAACACATACATACACAAGACCACTTACTATGGGAACGGTGCAACATAACATTTTCATACTTGATTTTTGCTAAGTTTCAAGAAATGCAGATCAAGTGACGAACAAAAAGAAAGCCAAAGAACATTCAAGTATACTTGACACACAAACTATCCTGCCAATATACAGAATTAACAACCATTGATGGGTATGTTGGAGGTTCTGGCAGCCCAGAAATCCTGAAGACAAGACAGCAAGCAAACACATAATAAGCTAAAATAAGAAGAGCCGAATATAGCATAAACGTTTATAATACTACCAATCAAGTAGTCTTTATACTTTTCCATATTAAATTCTCAAGTCATCTTTCAGGATAATGAGATTAAAGAACAATAGTTTTAGAGAACAAACCTTATCAGGATTATTTTTTGCAAGGGCTGAGCCCACAGCGCCTCCAAGTGATCTCCCAAAAACAATTATTTTTGATGTATCAATGTCATTTCTTTGGAAGAGATGATCTAATGCTGCCTGGAGATGGTCAGAAGAAAGCGAAACAAAACAGAGTTCATAAGTCAAAGAACCAAGCTCCGTGCTTCAAAACTGTAAAATTGCAAGGCTCAAAACAAAACCTGAGCATCCATGATAATGCCATGCTGAGATGGATCACCATCGCTAGCTCCATATCTATATGGTTGGCATGTCAAAAAAGACCATGAGTACCAAACCCAGTAATGAGGATAGAAGAAACCACTAACAGAACCATAAAAAAAACGGAGATAAAAGCAAAGAGAAGCAATACCCTCGGTAAGATAATAAAAATACATTGCAGTGGAGCCTCTGTAGCATTATGCGGACACATTCAAGACGATGGGCAATATCTAAATGCACAAGAATAAAGGTAGAAAACAAAAACACCCTGCAATCAAAGGGGAATACGAATTACTAAATATCCCTCTCTTACACTATCACTCTTGCACAGTCAAAGAGACATGGAAGAAGAAAAATTGGCAGGATACTGCCAGCATTTTCTTGGAAAAACAGAATAGTAGGACCTGCACAAGCAATGGAACCATCGTAAATTGTAATAAAATGAACAGGATGCAACTGAAAACATAAAAGAAAGAGAAATAATTGAAATACAGTCAAAGATTAAGGCTAGATTGTAAAAAATGTTCTTCATAATTACATGTTTCTCTCATTTAAAAAGAAAGAAAAAAACTTTAAATGCTAAAAGTAGACATCAATGGAAATATTTAGAGTCAGCTTTATGAATTTTTCTTCTTCATTCTTCTTGAGAGATAAATGAGATAATAAAGAATTTTGATGTAGTTTTCAATAAGTTGTTATCATATCAATTTAGATTACTTTTTTATCTTCCTAATCCTTTCACATTAATTCCATAGATTTGCTTTATTAGTGCATTAGTCGTCTGTTGTGTATGCTCAGTCCACTTAATTCTATTTTTCACTATCTTAGCTTGAATAGATGATGCTACAACTATCTCTAGGATATAATCGTTTTCACCATATGCCCTGCTTTTTAAGATGCATCTATCCTACGGTTCTCAATTAATTTAGTTGCTAGTGACTTTTGTTGCAAAATACTCAAATTCATAAAAAAAAAGTCAACAAAACAAATAAACTAATTTGTAATCATAGCAAAATCTAGAATTATCTATTCTATAAGTCTTTACTATGATGCACATACACGAAATGACGACATGAACACAACACGACAGAAACACGGGACATCAATTATTGAAAATATAGGACATGGACACTGGTTGGACATGGTATTATAAAATTTATATCTTAAAGATAGTGTATAGAAATTGAATAAACCGAATATTAAGAACAATTGAGAAATAATAACACATTTAACTAAAATATGTGTTTAAATGATTAATATTAGGATGTCAAAAGTCGGGCGTGGATGTCATGATATGTATCGAGAGGGATAGGGAAAATGACAATTGTCGAGAGTCGAGCGTTGATGTTGCGCAATGGGCATTAGGCAATGATATTGAGATAGTGTTGGCCCTCGATGTCGAGATGACGTCAATCATCAATGTTGAGATAATGTTGAACAAAGATGAGATAAAGAGATGGCACAAGGGTATGATTGTGAGTTGTAGAACTTGTTGGCATCAACAGTCAATGTCAAAATAGCATCAGACTTTAATGTTGAGATGATTTTAAAACATTGATGTTGTGACAACGTTGGAGAGATGACATCTTGATTTGTTGTGAAACCCTAGTAATTAACTACTAGAGATAAATGAAAATTGAAATGTTTGGGGAATGAGATATTGAGTATGGGAGATTGGTTTGGGGCTATGAAAAGAATATCAGAATTTAATTTTTATTTTTATAATAAATAAAAAATTGAAGTACAAAAAATTATATTTAAAAATTTTCATAAAATATTTAAAACACATGTGTCAGACATGCTTTTCTAATTTATTTTTAATATTTTTTTAATTGGACACATCTTCGGCATGTCTGACATGTGTCGGAGGTGTGTCAAATCTGTGTCGTATTTGATATATGTCGGACACTACATACCTCTTTAAGTAGAAGTGTCGGTGCATCATAGAGTCTTTATCATACTTAAATGTAGATTTATTAGAAAATCAAATCGTTTAGATTGCAAAGATTGTAAAGTTATTCCGAGTGAAAATTTATGTACCCAACATCGATTATTAGTTTTAGACTAGAGAGAGAGAGAGAGAGAGAGATGCTAGAACATTTTTCAAAATGGAGTTTCTAACATGCATAAACACATGCAATGCACATATAAATGAATCAATCAATGTGTTCAATTTTTTTTTAACTTGTGTTCTATAACTGTGATTATTAATATTGAGTTATGTTTATAATGATCTTCAATATTTCCCTGAGATTCAGCGTTTCATCATCATGATCGAACTCCAAAGGTTAAAATGATTAAATGGTTAAATCCATTCCATTGATCCAGTCATGACTGTAATCCATAAGGCTTAACCTTACTCAATTTGACATTTAAAACATGAAGCAAACCTAAAGTTGCATTTGGCACGAGTCTTCCAAATGAAGACTAGCTAATTATTAATTTATTATAATATGTTTACAATAGAAAAGGAATCACAATTAATTTTGTAATATTGAGAAGTAATGTTGGTAATATATGCTTGTTAATGAAAATATACTAGTAGATGTTTTAACTAGGACTTAATGATTAGTGTTTATGTAGGTGCATAAACAATACTAACTCATTTCTATACACAAATACCAATACATGTTTGGTTTTCAAAGTTTTCATTGTCAAATTCCCACAAGATAGTGTTTACTGAGTGGCTCACCAAACGCAACATGCCACTCATACATAAAGTGGCATGATGCCAAGGGACTTCAAAATAAATCAAATTGTGTAAATAATCTAAAAAAATAAAAGAGGAAGCATTTGTAATGATAAGAATTTAATTTTGTAAAAGTATATGAGCATGGGGAAGAGCAAAGAGTTAAACAAGGATAAATGCTTCTAACAGAGAATTAATAAACCTAACTTTAACATAAAGGTAGCAAGCAAGGAGCTTTAATGAAATATCCATTTAGATAATTCAAAATAAGAAAACTGTGTCTGACATAAACCACTTAAATTTCTTAGTTTAAGCCTGGTTAGAAAAAGAAAAATTATCAACTTCCACGTAAACTGCAAACTAATCCCAATAAATTCAACACTAAGCCATCAGACATTTGCTAGGCGAGAGCATGGATGCCAAGCCCCCAAGAACATCCAAATATGGTTTTTCTCATTGATAAATGACCAAATCAAGGGCCGATAAAACAGAGTTTTTTCTACATAGAAAACTCTACATATAATCGATTAATGAATGATATCAGATGGAATTTCTAACTGGCAACTCTAAGCACTTAACTTAGGCTTCGTTTGGGACGGATTTGGGATGGCTTTCTTACTTCTTCTTAAAGTAACTTTCTAGTATACTAGAAAGGTGCTTTACGCAGTAATAAGAATAAGAAAGCTGTCCAAAACAAAGTCTTAGTTAGCAACCATTTGCAGTTAATAACCATCAACATCCTAAAACGATTAGATAGAAGAAGCAACGAATTAGCAACTGGTCAAGTTAGGGTCTTCAAATAGTAACACATGCAGCACTCCACCATATCTTCAAGTTAGCCAGCAGCACGGTCATTATGAGTACGCGAAAACCAAAAAAGTGTTCACAAAACCAGTATAAAAGGTCTCAATTAGCTTCAACTTCTAATAATGAAAGGTCTCATATTTCCTTAAAGGAAATAAAACAAGCCACAGAAAATAAGCCAGAGCAAGAAAATGTCGTATGATAACAATAATTATGAAAAAAATAGCATACGCCAAAAACCCTAACTTATAAAGGAAATGCCAACGGGAAATTGGATCACAAAATCAAACCAAATCACTACAGACCACACTACGGCCACAAGAAATCAACCCAGATCAAAGATCCCGACTTTCCATATCTCAACTACGGAGAGTAAAAGGAAATTGGGGCCAGAAGGCCGAACCTGTGCAATCAGGAAAGATCTTGATGAACCATGCATGAAGCCGAACGCCATCGGCCGAGTGAAGCCAGACGTCCTCATAGGCGAGCCGTAGCCGAGCAGGGGTGATGGCATAGGACTTACTTAGCCCCGGAAGCACCGGAACATACACCAGCCGCTCCTGGAACGCCACAAGTAAAGCCAAAGCCGCCGCCGCTACTACTCCCACCAGGTACACAAGCGCGCTCAAGTACGAAAACATACCTCTATTCCCCCTTCTCTCGATAGATATTCAGATTCCGCGACCGCTTCCTTCCTTTGCTCGGTGCGGAATTTCGTCGAATGGTTGGTGGGGGTAAGCGGAGAGCGAGGCAAGCTAGCGCCGGCAGGTTGCACGTGCGGTTCGTGGACTCCGCCGCTTTCATCGGGCGAGTTTAAGCTGAGAGGGGCTTCGGTTTGCTCATCGGTGGTCCCTAAAATTGAAAAGAAAACAATCTTTCAGTATATCGAGCTTGGCCTTTGCAGCGGAACTCGACAGTTCCAATATTAAATGGTGATGAGAGTAGTGATTAATTCTCGATAGTCGCAGGTGGCAGAGATGGGTCGTCGCCTGGTGAGCCCGTTTTGTAGGAGACAGTGGACGAATTAGGCGGCACCGTCCATTGCCTAAAGTCAACAGTGGACTATTTGGGCTTCATTTGAGAAAGTATTACTATTTTTCAAAATAATTTTTTAATATAAAATTAAAATTTTAATACTATATCTCATATCATACCTTGTTTTTTGGGGAAAAATTGGGGCTTTGCCCGTATATTGAGATATACCAAAAATTGTGGAAATTACAAGTAAAAGTCAGGCATAACCTGACCAGAATCCCAAATCACCAACACAGATCAGTCGATCCAAAACGGAAAGAAAAAAGCTCAAAGATGAAGAAATAAAAACCAACATAACTCAGAAATTACAGAACCAGTACATGGACATAAAGATCATCAGCGCAAGGCAGCTCAAATGTCCAAGGCCTGAAGGGTCGTCAAGAAATGTCCTCCCTGGTTGCCAATCGAAGAAGTGAAAAGGAGAAGCAGGGTGCAACTAACACGGAGGTAGCCAGGCCAGATAAACACCAGAAAACAACAACTCCAATGGCCGTCCAGAGGGAGGAAGGCACAAACTGGTTCTGATCATCATCGTCCAGCGAACAAAACCACCCACCAGACAAATTAAATGAAGCAAGACGGAAAAGAAGAGTGAAGCAGGGCAACGTTCTTCTTTCCAGACCATTTCCGATCAATAGCCAAAATAATTTTCCGGCACAAAACTTGGTAAGTAGTGTAAGTACCCAAAAATCTTCTATCATTGCGCTCCCTCCAGAGAAAATAAACCACAGCACAAATAACAAAATAACAAAAATCTTTCTCCATCTTGCTGTATAGGCATAATTCATCCAAAAATTCGAACAACTGTAAGAGAGTAGGTCTAAACAAAAAGGAGTCCAGCACGAGCAACAGATGAGTAATGACGGCAAAAGAGTAATCACACTGAAAAAACATATGGGTGCTATTCTCATGCTCCAGATGGCAGAGGGAGCAGTTGGGATCAATAATAATATTCCTCTTCGTTAAAATGTCAGCTAATTATAAACCACCAGAAAGTAAAAGCCATGTATAAGAGGAGAATCTGAGTGCTTTGTGATGATGCCATATAAATTTAAACCAGCTCACCTTTTCCCTACCAGTGAAATAATTCAAACAATAAGTTTTAAATGAAGGCTTGCAGCAGTCTTTCCAACATAGAGCATCAGTTAAAGTATCCTGAATCGGAATGGCATTGATAAGTTGTTAAATATCAGGAGGAATCGAATTAGGCAGGGACCAGATATAAGTCCAGTAATTCGAAAAATTCCCCAAGAGAACAGGGTTAGGAGAGAGCATATCAGCCATAGCTTTACCATTAATCCACGGGTCCCCAAAAAAGGAAACAGAATTGCAATTGCTAACAGTGACAGTAAAATATAAAAATGATAGGAAACACTTGTATATCATACTTAATAAAATAGGAATAGGAGTTATATTTTTTTTTTATCATTTCAAGTAAAATGTTATACACATAAAATTATCTGATAAAATCCCAATATAATTAAATCAAAATGTTCAAAATAAAGATATATTTCACATATCAAAAGTTATACTGTGAAAATTTCCTGGATGGAAATATAATGTATTTTTATCAGATTCGAGAGAGAGCGAGAAATCTAGAAACCAAAATAAAAAAATGGAAGTATGTTAGAGCAATTTTTATAACTTGAGCAACAGAAAAAATGCCCCGAAGTTGGCTTTCTTTCTCCTCTCTCCTTCCATCTCCTTATCTTTCTCATCCAAGAACACAAATGAGATGAAACGAATGGGTCGTGGGATGTGTTTGATTTGAGAGAAAAAAATCCATAAGTCAAAATCAGCAATTTTTATAACTAGAGCAAACATAAAAAATGCCTCGAAGTTGGCTTTCTTTCTCCTCTCTCCTTCCATCTCTCCTTCTCTTCCTCAACCAAGAACACAAATGAGATAAGATGAGTGGGTTGTGGGATGGGTTTGGGTACTTAAATGCAATAGTGGTTTAAAATATTAAAAAATAAATAAATTTAAGGACTTAGTGCCGCAGCACTGACCCCAAACACTGTAGAACATAGGAATTAACACCACTGTGTGAAAGCTCATTACTATCGCGCTCAATCACGTAGAACCCTTCAAATATAGAGGGAAGCACTATATATTGTGCTCATCAGCACAGAGTCACAACTCTCCCAAGTACTCAATTCCTTTTAATGCAGTATTTTCTAATAAGTTTCAAATCAAGTATTTAGCAAGTCATTAATTAATTAAATTTTGGGGGATCACAACTATGTTGGGCGAGTTTGGATGTTTTTGGGGTGAAGCACTGAGAGAGGTAGTGGCAAGTGGCATTTCAATGAGAAATCCTAATTTGCCCTATATAGAGCGAGCTCTATAATAGGCTTAGGTGAGTTAAGCCTGTCGGTCCCTTTTAGTAAATCCCTCTGTAGGTCCTGGTCGAATTCTCCAAATGAATGATTCTTGAATGTGAGTATTCTTGTCAAAACCCGATAACAACCTGTGAAATACCTATGAATGCATTTATGAGTATACATATAAAGATACTTCATAGATATTTTGCATAATACATGCACTAAAATGATACATCTAATGATATACATGACATGCATAAGAATAGACATACTAATACATGATTCTACATTATATGCACACTAATATATATGACATGGCATAGAAATAACATACATGATATTAGCCCATACTGATAACTAATAGAACTTAGATATGACTATATCAATTCATATGATAACCCTTCCTATATCATTTCACATGATACAAGAGGATATGATTGAGATAGAGACAACTGATTCATCAAATGTGTACTATTCATGTTAATCACTACTGTTTATACTAACTACTATTCATATGGAGTGAAACAATTCATACTAAATATTACAATTTCATACTACTTTGATCTGAATGATTATATGTATATTATTAGGAGTGTCAAAATGAGTTTTCAAGTCGAGTTCGTGCCCAAATCGAAAATAACTCGCCATCAATTGTCTCAACCCAAACCCTAATATAATTGAAGGTCATAGAACTAGGCTTGAACCCGACCAGATTCAAATTTTGGGTCAACCTGACATGACTAGCTGACCTGGGCGAGGGTGACCGAGTGTGGGGCCATGGGAATTCAAAGGGGCTAGCGGGTGAGTGCGAGCAATGTGTAGGCAATTCCAGCAAGGTAGCTCGTTGGGGTAACCACGAGCATGACAAGCGGTGAGACTATGAGGCAGGCGAGCGCTAGTGCACAATGGAGGACGTGCGAGGGGTTGGCAGGTTGATTTCGAGTTTTCATGTTGACCCGAACCCAACCCGAATTTGTAATCGGGTCAGGATTTAAAACCCAAACCCAAAATTTTGGGGTTGGGTTCATATCAGGTTTTCGGATATTGTCAAATATTAACACCCTTATATATTATTTATGTTTCCATGTATTGATTTAAGTAGTTATAGTATTTGGTGACCCTACTAGGTTGTTATCTTATTATGTGCTTTACAAATTTTCATGGAAGTGTGTGTAAGGACCCAACACAATGAGATTGATCAAGAGTTGCTAATGATAGGTATTTTATTTTCTGCTATTCCTTTTTGTAGTCATGAATGTATAACTAATAGGTTGATGTGAGAAATAATATTCATTGTTATCATAAATGATTTATTTGAAGATATGATAGAAATGTATATGTATTATATGTACCTATTTAAAGGATAAATGAAATGTTGCATCCACCGTATCAATAAATTGTTTATATGGATGTTATTAGTGGCTCTAGCATGTAAATAGATGATTAAAAGAGATAATTCTTTCAAAATAAATCTTGGGACATCACATTAACTAAAATAAGCACCTACTAGAAAGACAAATTGTTCGACTATAATCATACTGTCTTTAAGCACTTTCATTTCTGCAACAACTCACTTGCCTTATCCCTTAGAGAAGCTTGAGATCTTCTGCATAAGTTATCAATCATGCCTGACCACTCATCAACGCTAACTTGTAGACCCACTTGGAGCCTACTTGCCCCAGGAGAGATCACTTGTTGGCTTCATCCTCCTCCAGCCTATCAGGAGGTGACACATGTTAGTTTAGCATATAGTGTTGTATGGGTATTCTAGGTAACTTGTAATTGTATTTTTTCTCTATATATCCTTTTTTGTTGCTCTATAAATAACGAGTGATTATGAATAATTAGAAAACTTAGATCTTGAACCTGGGGACTCTGACCTCGAATCGTGGATCATGGATTCTTCTCTAATAGTGAATATTATATGAGTTTCAAATATTTAATATCCTACTATGCTCTCTCTACTATATGTCTCTTCATTCTTCTTCAAAGGTTTCAACTCGCCAAGTTGACCTGCTAGTAGAGTTGGGCATCATCTACGAACAAATTTGAATTCAATATTATATTCTCTATAATATGTGAAGTTAAGAATGTATATATATATATATATATATATATATTTAGTGACAGTTAAATTTTTTATCAAATATGTTAAGAAATATATGGTTAATAGAAAGACAAATAAATTTAGGCTTCGTTTGGGATGGCTTTCTCACTACTTCTCAAAGCAAATTTTTATTATGAAAATTTTAAATTTTAAACTAAAAAACTGTTTTAAGAATTAATAAAAAAGCCGTCCCAAACGAAGCCTTAATCTTACATGTATAGTTTTATTCATTTATTTCACCAATAAAAACTTTTAATGCTTGCAATATATGATAAATAGCTCAGTATTTAATCACAAATCATTTGAAAACCTATGCACTTCAAATTCATAAAAATCTTTCATGCAATAAAATTCATCTATCGATAAAACTATAATGCTTTCAATTGATAATGAAATAATCATAAAAAAAAAAAACATGAAACTTTGTATGCAACTAAATTTACTCATAAAGCATTTGAACGTGTCTAAAACTATATATAAAATAGATTAAAAGAAGGGCGGATGACGAATCTATGTCAATGATTCATCCATATTTGTCTA